TTATGAAAGGTCTGCTAAAGTATTAATAAAATTTGTAATAATAGAAATACCTCTTTTTTAACCCTTGTTGTTATCTTGTTGTTAAATTGCCTTGGATTCGTTGCCGAAGTCAGCTGAACCGAAGTGCCTATAGATGGTTTATCAAATCTTGAAAAGCAAGCAGTTCACGAAAAAGACAATTTCTAAGAATCTGAATGTTATTAGTTTCATATTACAAATACAGCTTAAATTATGGTTGTTTTATATACTTGCCGTTTCACTTTGAGTTAATTTTGAGTTGCTTCTGAAAATTTTACGAAATAGATGTGTATAATATGAGAAATAATTATTTGTAAAATGCTTCACTGATCTGGTAAGATAATGCATTTATTAAGCCTTTGTTAAAGATGAAAAATTAAAAAATAACTAACTGTAGTTGACGAAATCGGATATTACTGAAGGTGCTGGAGGGTCACATTCAATTGAATTATTTCTAAAATGCTTCAAATACATTCTGCTCATTACGGAATGCAGACATGCATAAAATGACGTTATACCCGTGAACTTCGTTACAAAATAAAAAATAACCACCTGTATGTTTGGTAACTGCTTGCCTGTTGCTCATATAATCTAATCTCCTGATTGCCTGGTGTAGCTAAGTCTTCATAATCACTAAAGAAGAAAAAATGAAATTTTATTATTTCGAATTCTACCATAATGAGCCGGATTTTTTTTTGTTTGATTAAAATTGTTGTATATCCCGTGCAGCTCTTAATGATTACAGAAAAAAACCTCCCACAATTCTTTATCGATAGCAAAAGTTTTCTGGAAAATTTTCATACAGTAAAAATTTATTGGAATAGAAAAACCAATAAAAATTGATAACCTTTTTCCTGCCACAATAAAACCTTGCAAGGATGGACTTCTGATAAAATTTGAAATTCCCATCCATGATTTGGATCCTATTTCCGTGGCTTTCTGCGCTAAGCTTCCCAAAGTTGGTTTATTCAACAATGTCCCATCTCGGACCTAAATTTCAGTAATCTTAAATAGGATAATTTAGGCAACACTTGAACTATACAAATTTGTATTATACTCGCTAAGTTTTGTTTAAAATCATAAAAATTTAATAAGATTAAGGTTTAGATTATGTATAAAATTTAATAAAGAACTAAGGTTATAGGTGTATATTTTCACTGACACTTCCACTAAGTTCGGTAGCTTTCGTTGTTGCTTGTGAGCTGATATCTTTGGCATATAAAGCAGCGGTTGTTGCCCCTTTACTTAGCATATTCCAACCCTAAAAAACAGACCCTAAAAAACTAAAAAAACTATATATGCATAACGATTAACAGTATTTAATTTAAAATAAACTCCGCAAGATTTTTGGGGAATGTCTATAGGCAAATAAAATGAATTTGGCTGAGTTATTAAAACTTACCACAGAAAGAGATGACAAAGCACCAGACAGTAATTCACTGGGTGGATCACCACTGTTCACCAGAACATTGCCAAAACCTTGATACCGACTTCTACTAAAATTTAAGATATTTTTTCTGGAAATTTTAATAGAAAGTCATAAGAAATATGAAACTAGAACAAGAGTTCTTTTAAGATCCATCAAAAAACTCAATCAATGAAAAAAATACAGTTTGAACTGTAATGGAGTAGATCTACAATGAAGGGAAAATTTAAACAGAAGTCTTCGTTAGTAGAAGTTATTTGAAGCAAAAGATATTTACGAGTTATCATAATCGGAATAGTATGAATTGTTGCCAGTTTGAGTTGTGTTGCTTCCATAATAAGCTGATAAATTATTCGAACTGTTGTTTCCACTGATTTGAGAATGAGATGGATTTAATGAAGTGTTAGGGATATAATTTCTTGCTGGCGACGTTTCGGCTGACCATTCACGGTCTTCTGATTCTGTTAATACCTAGAAATGATTAAAAAAGGTCAAATTATCCCTTGAAGATATATTTTCGAATGTCCGTTTAGGTTAACGAGATAGCTTCGCTGAAAATCGCACCTTATCTCTTAAAAGAGCAGCAGCTCTCGAATTATATCTTTCTTGAAGTGACCAGTTTGATCGGTAATCTGACTGACTTTTCAAAAATTCTAATGCTTTTGCGTTGCCTCCAGCTTTCATCTTGCTCAGCTCACTATCTTTCCACTTATCCATTGTTGTAGATCGCACAAAACTATAAAAAAGGTATTTTTGCTTGCATTACTGTGACGAAATTATTTTAGGTCTTGAACTCTGCTATTTCGCTGTCCAATAAAAACGATAATCAAGATAAGCATTGATGACATAAAGCTTGGATACGCATAAGTAACACAAATGGACACATGAACGAACCTCACGTGTACACCCAAACCACGATGCAAACCAGAACAATCCAAACACAGCCAAATTCCATACGTTACACTGGCCCACTGAGGATTACTAGCGCCACATTCAAAGCAGATCTGATAAAATAGTATATTTTAATGGCATACAAAACCGATTCGACAGTAAAGAGCAAAGAACCCACCTTTTACTCTTGAAAACTTGAAAAAACCTAACGTTATTTCCAGGAACATCTCGAATGTCTCGAATGATACGTCGCGTTCGTGGACTGGCCATAGTAGTTGACTAATTTTCAGACCATCAAAATCTACTTAAATACAAAAATGTTGGCCAAATTCCTCTGTTTTTATTCCCTCTTTAGATGCTCGTTTAACGTTCGCTGCTTACTGAAATGATAAAAGGATTGGATACATCGTACCTGTACTGATAAATCTAGATCAACCATTTATTCGGGAGAAATATTTGTCCCAAATTTTTTTCGAAGTCGCCATCACTTTTCGACATACCACTGTGGCATGACTCCAAATGATGGACATGGCCGCACGGTGATAATGGACTGATCTCTTGAAATAGGTTCAGATATCATGGTAAAAACCAGATCTAATCGGGATATCCATGGTTTCATATAATTATTAGAAGTAATATTACTTATCCCTTTGAAAAACTAAAAATAATGACAAAACTGCTCAATAGTTTCCAGAATAGATAACTAAGCAGTGAATTTGCAATATTTCCGGACGTTGGGCATGGCGACTCTTAAGGTGGAGAAGTATCTTTGGTTTTTTTTGAAGGTTTCGAAAAAAAACGTACTAAAAAGAAAGACGTCAAAATTGACGGGTAATTGATGAGACGGACAAGTGACGCAGGCAACGAGTCAAGCACGTCCCTCCTCTTTTTTCGCGTGGGCACGTGACCCAGGATCGTAGCGAACTCGTGCCTACGTCCAGATATTACTGAAGCTAGTAAATGCCTAAAATAAAAACTCAATTGGAAAAAAACTGAAAGAATTAAAATAAAAAGAAAACGAGAACCAAAAGTACTTTGATCACACCCTACACTGCATCAGTTTATTCCCCCTGAAACTAGTCGGGAACGCTTACGAAATTCCTTCTACGATCGCAAATTATCTTAATTTCGCAAATTGAGTATGAACCTAAAAGGGCACTCCGAACTCGAAGATTCTCGTTTCATTTTTCATTTATTGAAGAAGAGGTAAGTGGATGTTCGATCTGAATTGACTCCAACTTCTTATTGATGGTATTTTCTTGTTGAAATGAACCATACTCTTTTGTTGCCTACCAGCACTCCATTCTCTTTTCAAGATTGTCTCGTGAGGATTGGTACTGATATAAGTTGTGACACTCATTCGTTTGTATGAACGGGTAAAGTTATCAAATCAATCCGAATTCAGAAGGGAATATCCAAGTTTTCGATAAGAAATGTAAATTTCGTCTCTACTATAAAAGCGAAACTACAGAGTGGTGCTTCGCATTTTATTCACTTGTCTGTTTTGCAGTTGGTGATACTACAGGAACTAAGGAGGAGGTTTGGTATGTCTTGTAGTGAACCTGTCGGTTTGGTCACAATTCTTCTCTTGTATGCTTTATTATCACCGAACAATACATGTGTGAAAGCGGTGAAAAATTCGGATAAGACGAAAAAACAGTGGTTAGCAGAAAGGAATCTGTTTCTGGATATCGACAATGCCCGTTCAGATACCATTGACAATATCACTGATGCTTTCCTCAGCATCACAAACAGATTGGTGAAAGCCGGTCGTTTGATGATTGAAACTAAACGTCGCATGATCATGTTCATCGATGAAGTTGGCGAGATGAGCTATGATTCCAAGTGGGCTGTCTTGGGCTGGTTTGCTGCTATGTTTCTTTTTCCCATCGTTACGGCTGTAATCGTAGCCATAATCATTGCTCTGTTCTTCCAAAATGAACTCACCAATTTGCAAATTTTCTTGCATACTCGTTGGGATACGGGTGATCAACCGGATATTATCACTGAATGCAAGGCAAAGCAACGTTTGGGTAATTTAGCCATGCAACGTTTGTATCTTAAAATGAGTCGACATCCGGATAAATTCCTCCCCAAGCAGGCAAAACGTAATCCAGAGGCGTTGATCCGTGAAAAGGCTGAACTAACATAAATGAGGTGAAAGCGAATTCCGCGGAAGCACATATCCCAGGCCCATAGGCACTTCATTGTCACTATAATGAATTCCGGACGTGAAAAAAACATTTTTTGTATTCCATGGAGGGTTTCAGGGCACTTAATGATTAATTGTAATATAGCACATTGTGCATAATGAAAGAATGCCAAAATACAAAACTGTTCCTGTGTTCATGTTATATACCTGAAACAATAAAAAAAGGTTCCAAGGTAAAAACTCGTATCACACCTTGGTCGAACAAACGTTGTGCTTAATAATACCTGATATGCTTTGATTCCCTGTCCAGACTTCCTGGTTTCTGAAGTTAATATTTTATTCAATTATGTACATGGCACAATTTGTTCAATGCAGGTACCAATACACGGTACCGTTAATCATAGAACCCCCCCCCACTAAGTGCTGACTGGATAGGGAAAGTCAATCTCACGCAGCTAACTTCTACGAACTTCTGAAAGAGGAAATAAAAAGTAGCAAGTGCTAGGAGAAAAAGGATTTCCGGCTTGTAATTTTTGCGTCAATTTAGATTCCTTTCTGAAATGAAAATATATTCTGTAGAATAAAGAGGGCACGTATTATATGGCTGGGACAAAATTGTCCCCTTCCAATTTACAACATTAGCACACCATTTTTTCTACAAATTGACATAGTCGAAAAAATATATAGTCGCACAAGGGACGGTCAGAACACTATCAAATACGATCTAGAAACAAAAACAGAGTTTTCATAAAAGCGCACCCAAATATGTTTTCTATATTATATATTATCATATACTTATTTGCTTCTTCCTCATCCGCGAAGATTACAAACTGAAATGATTTCAGCTTTTACATTATATTCCAAAATTCGACAGCTCTTTTATTGGAAATACTTGTGTCCTGATAGAAATATACAATAAACCGGGGAAAGTATAAATCAGTCATGATTAAAGAGCTTTAAGGTTTGGAAAAAAAACAAAACAAAACGCTTTTTAGGCCAGGTACATGTAATACAAGGAAAAATTCAAAATCAAAAAAAAGTATGAAAATGTGGCAATATGAAAATAACGCATGAAAGCTTAAAAAACTTGAAATCTAGAATGGAGGTTAGCTCTTGTCTTTTCTAATTTATTTCGTACTACAGTATGCAGAACATCAGGCAGGTTAAGGAACTTCCTCCAAAGGATATTTCCTTTTCGTGAAAAATATCTTATGCAGTTTTCATTATTGCTACAATAATGCTCCAGAAATCGAAAAAAAGCATGCAATATTCCATACTAAGGCGTGTAAGGGATTCTCTAAATTATCATTGATTCAAAACTAATCATTAACTCAAAGCTTTAATACAAGGTTTAAATAACTAGGCATATAAATAAAGTAAACAAACAAAGAAAGGATATAGGCTTCACAAAAAACAATCGTCGTCTTGAGTTGGTCAAAAATGATCAGGCTGTACGGAAGAAATCATGGGCAAGCTTGGTGTGAACAAATTTACTTGTACAGGGAAGAATTTGCCCGCTATTCCAACTGATAGCTTCCATTTTTAATGTATTCAATCGTCAGCTTCTGTTTACTTTCAATATAACTAATGCAAATCTAACAAAACGAACAATTTTGTAATTTCACAAACTAAATTTGAAAAAACAAAGCATTAAAGGATCCTCTTCTACATACCAAATACTCTTCAAAAACTGATTATAAACGAATGAATTATAAATAATGGCTGCTGCTCCAAGGAAAATTACCTGACAATCAAGAGTATATCCAAAAGCAGCCGACGTTGTACGTCCGATTGGTTCGCCATATCTGTATATTAATTCACCACCCTTTGGCCAAGGGTTATAGTATAAATCATAATTACCCACAAGTAACTGAACAAATCGTTTCTGAGTGCCACTTCTTTTTTGCTCTAGTAATGCCCCTTTCCCAATAAAATCTTTCTGGAATGAAATTCAATTTCAAAGAACCTTCTTTAAAAAAAAACGACTTATTTCGAATTGAGCACTTCCAAAAAAAAAATTAAAGATTGTAAAATCTTGCCAGTGTAATAAAATCACGCATACATTAAAATCAATACGGTATGTACGTCCACATTCGAACGGTGTTATATTCGTAGGAATATCTTGACCCCAACAAACAAAGAATTTTTCGATACGCAACTGTCTCAAAGCGTAATACCTAAAACATGATCAGTAAATAACAGGAAGCTGGAAACAGTTGCTAAGCAAAACCGAAAAATTAAATTTTTCCTGCGACACACCCTTCATGCATAACACCATATTCTTTCCCACGCTCCATCAAACGTTCATAAACATTTTGTACTACCTGAAAAATATTTGTCATATAAAGTAGTAAAAACCTACTTCAAAGAATGCATTACACGAAATTAATATTACAAAGGATTAATAAAATAAATATTTCGATAAGCGATGAATCATTTATCTAAATCGAATTCTTCCAATTTTTTTTAGCTAATCTTAATTGTAATGTTTAAATGTTACAAACAATTCATACGAATTTGCAAATAATTTAGCTAAAATGATTCAACCAATCAATAATCTAAATTCCTTCAGGGGAGAACCGAATACTGTGTGATACCTGCTACTTCAGGAATTCGCTCAATTAGATATTGTGGATGGGTGTGCAAATCAGTCAATGGTGTTACTTCTAGACGCGCAATGTCAACTGCTAGTGTTTCACCACAAACCAACCCAGCAACCAGATTTCTAGCGCCACCCGCAAATGCCAATCCTTGCCCACTGAAACCCGTCGCAACATAGTATCCTTGGATCTGAATAAAGGAAAAATTTAGGATTTCCAAATTTTTTAATACCAAAGAATACTTCGAAAACACCTTCCATCTTCTATATTAAAAATCCAAACGATTATAAATGATTACTTTATCAAAACTTGACATTCCAAAAATAAAAAAACCTGAGCCGTTTCACCAATCACACGATATTTATTAGCAGTATATGACTCAGCACTACAAACCAGTTCACCGTACTCTGTTCCACTAACAATGTTGCAACGATTCAACAAAATAATTCAGTGTTGGATCTGCATAGTTTCAATATGATATATTTCATCTCTAACCAAAAACAAACAACCATTATAAATATTTCTAAGAATGGAAAATATTTCAACTTCCATTTTTAATACTTACAAAATTTATCCCAGGCTGGCAGTGGCACTATCCACTGTCCCAGTACTCTTTGATAACTCAATGAACGGAAATTATTTTGAGTAAAACCTGCACAGAACGTCCGTGATTCATCCATAAAGAGGTAAGTTTTCTCATCCACATGCGTAAAAACTAAATATGCAATTTATAAGTTTTTTGGCTCCAACAAGGAAAACTTCGACAAAGAATTTAAACGTTTTGCATTAACGGTAAATCTGGAAATTATTTTGTTGAAGGTCATGAGGATATAAAATCAGTACAAACTAAGCATCTTATCTGGTTAAGCAACTATTTTATATGTTTAAGTAAGCAACTTAACAAACTAAACAATTTCTTACTCGGCGTACTGTTGTTCTTGATATCTTTATCAGGTAGTCGTTTCGTTGACAAGAATGCAGGATGTACAGCAATAATTACATGATGAACTGGCAATTTATTAATTTAAGAAGTACCACACCACTGCAATATGTCATATGCAGATGATTTAAACCAAACTCAAACACCTAAAGTGGATGCTGAAAATTCTTAATCTGAGGATTCACAAAAAATGAAATTAGCTACTAAGTTAATTGTCCAAGCTAACTGGCAATTTAAATAGTTTCAAGGAAATATGGATTTCAAAAAGAAACTTACAGTCCCAATGGCATCAACATAGCATTCAGTTTCAAATTGTCCTTGATTTGTATGACTCCCACAACTTTTTGTTCTTTGTCAACAACCACTTCTTCAACAAAGCATTGTTCAAATATTTGCACTCCTAAAAAATAATCTGAACTGAGTATCGAAATAACGCATCTAGCACACATTTGGCAAAATTCGTCTGTGCAAAATAAAAGTGAGATTTCACAATACCGAACAAGCACGCACAAAATTAATTTATACGAAGCTTACCATGATTTCTATCACGCTTTCTTAATGCTTGACAGAGACCAATAGGATCTAAAGCAACATCATTTAGTGAGAACTGCCCTAAAACATAAAAAAGAAATCAAAATTGATCAAATGGTAAGCAAAAAAGTTTGATTTAAAAAAATTTTAACAGAACAACCCAGATGCCATCTGTACTTACTCATTTTGGGAACCAGCGCCGCATTTCTTCCGGACTATTATACAGTTGTGCTTCTTCACCGTAAATAGTTGAACGTGAAAACATTCGTCGCAAACTTACTTTACCTTCTACTGTAATTGTTAAGTATAGTCGTTGTATCCTAAACATTCCGTTAAAATGACAAGCATAGCAACTGAAAAAAAATGAGATTTTACGACAAGTATTTTAACAGATTAGCTGCAACAAAGGAGTCCATATTAATAAAATTGGAATGCTGACATGAATCGGCATATAAATCCAATGAATGTTTGGCCATATACTGTTTAGCCAGGTCTTGCCAGTGCAATGGAGGTGTTACCAAGCCAGCACTTACACTTGTTACACCACTTTGACCAACACTTAAAATACTATAGGTTTTTAAGTCATGGCTTGATATTGATAAAGAAGACAGCAGCTAAATGATTAAAAAAGCATCATTGCTTTGAAACATTATAATTCCCACCAGTCCCGTTTAAGCAAGACAACCAAAATGCCATGTTTCGCCAAATGATATGCATATCATTTCCATCACCACCGACGATCACATCTGCCATACGTGTTTTACTACTGGAATCTCGCCACGTTGGGATTTTAAATTGCCCGAACTAAGGAACATGATCCTAATGAACGAAATGCCTACCTGGTACAATCTTACACTAAGCTAAACAATTGTCAAAACTGAGAATCATTAGATTGCAGTGAATTTCTTAATGTAGATACATGTCGCAAATAAAACGAGCCTATGTGATCTATAGAAATGAGAATTTTGGAAGGAATAAGCAAAAATGCTATGGTAAGAGCTGAAATCAAGCAGGCAATATCATCTTAACTTATATTCAGAAGCTGCACTTTAAATTGAAGACGAACGTTCGATATCGGACATGAATATTACTGTGCTTCTGACTACAACATCCAAAGATGCGTTTCATCAAACAATTCAGTCCGCTTATCGCCATATCGCTTCGCATAGAACGGATAGCAATTTCGGTTTACGAACCTGGCAGACCCTTCCTTAACGAACAAAAACTCAAAAAAAAAAATAGCTTAAGCAAAAAGTACACTTAAAATCCATTTTTGAAAAACGTCACTAGTTTAAATGATAAGTAATTATCATGTATCATGTTTCAGTGAGAACTGTCGTCAGAGACATTATAGTAAATGCTGTTCATTTTGTATCGTCCTTATCATATTAAAGTTTCGTAATTAAATCTATTGCATTACACAACCAATTACGTACACTACGATTGCGCTATGAAAGAAATAAGTTTCTAATTAATTTTTTCGTCTTTTTAGTTCATCTCCAGCATGTGTCACATCCCGATTTATTTTATTGATTCATATGCAATATCCGCATTGCGAACTCTCGAAATTGAGTTTGTTTCAGAAATTATTACACTGTTATAGACTCAGAATATACCAAATAAAACCCTTGGCCAGAAGAAGGATAAACAGATGAGTCATTAGCAAGCATAGCTCACAGTTCAATTAGAGCGAAGCTACATGATAGAGGATATGCGATCGAGCATAAGCTTCATTCGGTGTGCGATAAATCTCCAAGTCTACGGCTTCTTCGCTTCTACAAGTGTCCCTATTTTAAACTGCAATTCAACTACTTGACACATTAAATTTTCTCTTTATGTCAACAAGAGACTCACCGTGGCTGTATTTTCTATATTCACTAATAATCTATAAATAATATATTTATCACTGTCATCAATAAACCCTTGTCAAACTTCTTGCGTCGGTGTCAAATAATACAGAGGAACTTCGTCGTTAATCTCCTTCAAGGCAGGAAAAATTTTCACAGCAAGGGATGAGAAATTACTTCTAATGCAGAATGCCGAGATATCCAATAGCATCAGTATGCAGGAAGAAAACGGTTAATCCGAAGACAGTAGTTGTGGCTTGTCATTTCCATCAAGGAAAAAGTTGGACCAATCCAGTCCGATATGACAAGATTAGCTTGATAGTCAAATGGTAAGATCTAACCTCGGGTAATTATGGTGTGCTAAATTTTAGACGCCCTATCAATAATTCCATTTGCGTTGCCAATTTCTAATATTAAAAAGAAAAAAAAATGATAAAAGCTGAAACCTCACGAATTTTTGTCATAAAAATTTTTCGTTAGACATAAGAGCACTTCACACTGTTTGTATTAGCATATGCTGTGAGTTTAGTTGGCAGATGTTTAGGATGAAAACTCTTTTAAAGCTGCAATAACTCAAGCAATCGTTTGCAATTTGTTCTCAAACAAAATGATTATTTTGTGCAGGAATCTCAATCCAGTAGTTACCAGGAAGGTTACGATTTGGATGAAATCAGTTATCTTAACCCTTTTTTTTGTATTTCTGCTGTAAAAGTAGACATTCATCCCTTTTTTAATATAGCTAAAAGGTTGGTTGCTTTGCATGGAAACGTTTAGGATCGTTGGAACAATTCTTCTTTTGCGCCTCGGACATATTGAAACTCCACAGAATGGACCTCACTATTCTTGTTTCTTTTCTTCTTTTCAGGAATACTAAATCGTCTTCATTTATCCAATTTATTGCTCATCGTTGCCCATTCCTCGATGCTTCTTCGACTCATTCAGAAATGCTTTACAACAAGTCACCAATTCTGATTTGATGAAAATTGGCATATTGTAAACAGCATGAAGTAAGCAACACTTCATCACTGATATCCATCTGGTCCTCTTGATGACTAACCTTGTATCTATAAGTTTGTAACTACAAAAACTCCATTAATTCATTGGAGGTCAAGGTGGGAGTACGAAGCTGGCATCTCGAGAAGTAGCCCGAAGAACGATCACAATTCCACTGAATTCTTCTGAAACAACGAAGAATGCTAAATTCGAGACATGTACTGAAGCAGTAACTACCTACCTTCGGCTGTTTCCTATAATGTCGTGATATATTCTCCTTATTCAAAAAGTTCCAATATAGTAAATTAGGGAGAAGTCAGTAATATGTTCTGGTTAATGTCAAGTTTTAGTATTTATTAAAATTGCTTTTGACATTATTGCATTCAACGTTAGGCACAATGATCATTATATAGAAATCATAGCAATTCTTCTTCAAGAACTTTATAATCGATATCCTTATCAGTAGAAGTTTTGCTCCCAGAAATATCCTTATTTACTGCTTCTTATTGCTGCGATTATGAGAATATCAAAACTTGATTCAGATTTAAGTAATTTAAATTAAGGAAAATTAAAAAAAATCCTTATTCTTTACGCAATTTTAGTGAAAAATTGATGAGGTTTCTACTATTTTTGATCAATATGCTATCAATCTGGGATATCGATTGCTACAAATCACTGATTGTGTTATCCACTGGCGATTACACATGGAAATATTTGTTTAAGTAATTTGAATTAAGAAAAATTCTAAAACCGGTGCCATCTTTATGGCAATCGTGTTTTCTGAAAATCAATATGATTTTTTGGCCAAAGTAAATGACCATATATAGGAATAAAAAAGTAACAAACAATATACGAATAAGAGATTTACTGGAGAAGATCAGTTGTGGAAGAAAAAATGTACGTATGGTAGTGGAAATGAAAGATGATCATTAATAAGTACACAATGAATAGTACAGCTGTTACATAATACTTCTAAATTGACATATATTGAATGAATCTGCATAGATCCCACGTTGTCACCTGTCCTCCACAAAAAACTTTCGGCATAAGTATTATCTTTTCCTCCTTTCTATCCTTGGTCTTCTATTTCAGGATATTTGGGAACATGTATATTCATTACATTTTTAATTTATCAAAACAAAAAGTATATTAATACCTAATGGAAATCAACAGTGACTTTCAATAAATTGGTACGTCTTAAGATTTAAAGTCTTAAGAAAGTATAAAGAAACTTCAATGTTTGAATTATCGGCCGAAGGGTTTGCTGGCGCTCCCACCAAATAATGTCCCACTAACAGATGAATTCAATGTATTTCCAAAAGTAAAAGATGATGTTGTTGTGGATGCAGGTACCGGCTCCGCTACTGATGTCGCTAAGGTGCCTGTAAAAAATGTGGAAATGAACGCTATTATTTAAACATTATCAACATTATGCTCGAAAAGAAAAACGAAATGGCTTTCCAGAAAAGCCGATATTGACGAAGAATTTTTGGACATGAAAAACATAAAAAAAATTCAGACACAATTCAACGAATGAAGAAAAATGAAAAGGACAGAAAACTGCACGAAAAAATAGGACGAGCAAAGAATAAAAATAAATTTACTATTAGATCATTGCGGACAACATTTGGTGCTTCTGCTGGCTACATCTGCGCTTCACCAAGCTTTTTTCTTGATTCTCTTTTTTTCTTAATATTTCGAATTTAGAGAAATATGAGCACCAAAAAAAACCTTTTGACCATTATTTCTGACTAATTCTATGTAAATTAAAGTCGACAAACAACCGAGCACTAAAAATATTATTTCGTACCGAAAAGAGGAGCCGATGCTGAACTAGTAGTGGAGAAAGATTTGAATAATGGTGCTGTTGTGTTTGTAATTGATGGATTGAAAGAGAAGGCAGAAGTACCGAAAGTTTTTGAACCAAATAACGAACCCGATGTGCCAAATCCACTTACTCCTGCTATAACATCAAAATTTTCAATTTGCTACAACACGTAATCTGAGACTAATATCCTGAAGAACAATCAAAAAAAGAAACCGGGAAATAAAAGACAACGAAGAAAAATGAACTTACCCGTTTGTTGTGGTGTTGAAGAAGGTTTCGCCATTTCACCAATTTTCATCATTGTTACTTGTGAAGGGAACGCATCTGCGCCTTCAAATAACAAAACACTTAAATTAATCATAAACAGTTAATCGAAAACTTTCTCACGATATGAGCGCTTTTGTGTAAAAGCAAGAAAGTTAAGTTCACTATTACGAAATAATACAATGCAAAATACATGAACAGAATTTATTACAGTACTGTAGCAGTCACTTAGAAGAGAATTTACATAGCATACTAATGTTTCAGATTTTCACAACAACTAAAGTTAAAAAAAAATTTTTCACCGGTGAATCTCCGTTCCGCAATTGGCTTTTCAATATGCTTCGATTTCCGTTGTTCAAATGGATTTGGTGTATATGGAACGGTACGCTTTTGATGTTCCAAAAATCCATCCTTGAGATCCTGCAAAAAAGTGCAAATAACATCCACAAAAAAGCGAATATAGATATAACAGTATGGAAGTGTCAACATTTAATATCAGTAAATATTCAGTGATAAATTACAAAACACGTAATTAAAATAAAAACATACTTCGATTTGTATTTTACAACGATATACATCAGAACAAATAACTTTGAATGTTTGGTCATAATGCTCAAAATGTTTCTGCAGATCCTGCTTTGTGGTTATTCCTTTCTAAAAGTTCAAGGCTTTTAACAACGAAACAAAGACTGACGAATCCCGGACTTACAAAAACAAATTCCAGAACATGTTTACATTAAAACATTTAATTTTTTAAAAAAAAACTTTTTGAACTGAAAAAAATTAAATTAAAAAAAATGAATGTCTAAAAATAAATAGCTCATATTCTATTTTTTTATGAAATGATTTTATTATAATGAATACTATTAACTCAATTCTAGTGTGTTCCCATGACTTTAATTCTCTTTTCTGCAAATAAAATTATAGGATTACGCTGGAATCAAAAGACTTTATTAATTTAAATAGAGTATTGGTTAATAATTAAAGTTAGATGTCAAAGACAATTTTTTGTCCAGTTTTTTGTTTTTTTGTTTTTTAAATCTCGTATACATCCTTTAAAACAGAATATCCAAAAATTTTGAAAAGTTCAGACCATGTATCCCAAATGTAAATGGAACGTTCACAGAAGTTGTAGCTTGGAGTAGAACTAACCTTATTTAATTTCGCATCAATTCTCTCCTGCAATAATTGCAATGTCCCCCAAAATTCTCGCACGGTATTTTCGTGTTCGATACAAACTGCGAGCAAATAAGACAATGCTTGTTTGCGACCGAAGAGTGGGTTTTTTGAAATCTCTTTCTGCCGTCGACGTACCTGCTCTGCTGCCCGTAAGTCTCGCTGCATTTTCTCAAGTAATTCTAAAATTTTGTCAACAATTAAAGCTGGTTTTTTGACATCTGAATTATTGGCCAACATAAAAGAACAAGGTTAATGAAACAGTTCAATTCAGCGATACAGCTTCCACATATCAAACCCTTTTTGTTTGCAAGCAAAATCCAGGATTTGAATTACAAGTCTAAGCAGTGACGAATTACCCGGAACTTCTAATGACATTATTTCACTCTAGGAATAAACGTGCAAAAAATGAATTAGATATAAAATGAGAAGTTACCTTCCGCTCTATCTTTTGCTAAACGTATAATATCAGCGTTTTTCACACGTGTTCTAACCAATTCATCTATCTTTTCATCCATGTGCAAGCATGAGTCTGCGCGATTCATAGCAAATTCAACGCTTAATTCATGGTTTTTCTTAATCTGGTCCCTAAAATATCATAGTTATTGATGAAAAGTACTTTCAAAATCAAATAACAAGTAGGTTACCGCAACAGATTAAACAGATCCATAACCACTTGCTGTACTTCAGCTTCCAATGGACTTCCAGATGCCGCAGCACCGGCAACACCCAAGTTACTGGGTATCAAACCGGTAGTTGCAAGTGTACCCGTTCCTCCCAATCCTTTTGCAGTTGTAACCGTCGTTGCTCCATCTGCACCAAAAAGTCCACCAGTTAAAGCAGTTGTAACAGTTGCCGGATTGCTGAACAAACCTAAATCATGAAATAATAAAAAGGTAATTTCACTTTTATAGTCAGTTACAGTGAAGTATAAAAATTATAGATAGCAGTGGTATGCATACCCGTTGTTGGTTTTCCAAAAAGACTTCCGGTAGCAGTTGCAGCAGGCGTGACACCAAATAAAGCTTGTGTTGTTGTTACTGATGTATTTCCGAAAGGTCCAGAAACCGTTGAAATCGTAGTCACTCCAGCAGTTCCCATCAAACCACCTGAAAGAACATTCTATAAATCAAGAAAATTCTAGCGTTTCAACTTATTGCACAACTTTCCTGTAACGGTCGAGGTTTTTGCAGCTGTTCCAAATAATCCACCAGAAGGCGCTGCTGACCCAAACAATCCTGCAGAATATAATCATGAATGAGGGCCATTTTGGCATCTAAAATGACCAAACCACGACCAAATGTATCTTCAAAGTTCACCTGCTGATGTTGTGGAGGCTGCAGCTAGAGATGTAGGCGCTCCAAAAAGGCCGACACCTGGAAAAAGTAATCAAGCGAACAAAAATGAATCAAAAAAATAATAATCGAGGGTTTTCAGGAAAGGCTAAAATTTCAGAGATTTGAAATCTTATAAGACTCCAAACTCACTTCGAACTCAAATTTCGAAGTGCGGTCAAGTCAGATAACGGAATATATACCTGCAGTTTGTACAGTAGCTGTCGAAGTGCCAAACAATGGTTTGGGCACCGTCCCGAACAAATTACCTGCGGTAGATGTTGCGGAAGCAGCTCCCTGTGTGCCGAAAGTAAAACCGGACATAATTTTCCTGTAATATTAGGTTAAATTTCATAAACTCACAAAACGTACATAAGTAGGGACCTTGTCTGGGGAAACAAACTTCATAGTTTAGGAAACTTCCAAATTTGGCCTAATACGAACCATAATCTCCCAACAATTACTTGAGAACTTCGACTTTCAACCGAGCAGTCCATTTGCCATATATAAACTTCTATTATCTACAGTCAATTTTCCCAAATCCAATATTCCTCGAACACAAAATAATCAGCAGACTATTGTTCAGAGTTTTGTTTACATCAGTAAGATTTTAAGTAGCACTATTCAAGTTGGTACGGTTAATATATCATCAGGTTGGCGTAACGATATTCAAAATATCCTCTTTTAAATGGATCATGGCCAATTTCAATATTACTTCTTAAGCATTTTACTGGAAAAATAATAATAGCAAACATGACATTGGGATCGTTTTTACATCTTGAAGGTTCCTTAACATCAATCAACTGCATAGTGAGGAACAAACATTCATATCGCCCCAGATAGGAGAAACGAAAATACAGACATGCATCAAGTAAAATAAACAGATAGTAAAGAAGCGAACAATAAATTTACAAAGTTTCAACTTTCCTTGTAGAAAAAAAAGTGAAAGTTTGTGTTCTGTTCTTCTTCATTTCACTTAACCATATTTTTTTACAAATGGTTTCTTCTCAACTCCTTACCCACAACTAGGAAAAACTAATTTGTTTACAATGGTTAAATTATGTCACGTTCATTAACTGGAGTTGGCACATCTGATCAGTGAAGCATTTGAAGTGGAGATTTGTGACATTACTTAGAAAGCCTTATCCAGAGATTTTGTTGCATTACTGTAATGATGAAGAACTTAAAGTTAAACAAAACAATTGCAGCAAAAAAGAAACTTGCCTTGAACTACTTGGCTTCTTCTTTCAAACATTCTAACTTTTCACGAATTTATATAGCAAACAGAATGTACAAAACAGCAATTCAAGCACTAGTGATGAGCAATAAAATACAACAATAATTAGCAACCTCTAACAAATATTTCCTCCTTCACGTCTGATTCTTTCATGTTCCATTTTGAAACTTTCCTTACAGCTTTCATTCAAGCCTTCCTTGTTCCGTGCAATTTCCACAGCCAGAAAAATTATCTAAAAAATTCGGAAAATTAATTTCGAAATCCAGAATTTTGAGAAAAAAATTTTAGTTAAGCATAAGCTATTTATCTCTGTAAAACTGTACGCCAACCATGCAATGACGTTAGGTTTCTTTATAAAGGGAATACAAGCAGTATTTCTCTTGCAAATTATGGCTTATCTTAAGCAACAGCAATGATGTCTTATCTACTTACGCTAGACTTCCACATATATATTGTCTTTCAATATTGAAACCTTACTGAGTTTTTACCACTTTCGTACTGCAACACTGTAATTAGGTAAAAATGTGGAACCTGGACAATTACCTTTGGAACAACAATTGTATTTGATTCGCTGTAAGCACCATCAGCTCGTATCCTCATGATTGTTGCAAGATTATAATCTCCTATTTCTTCTTTAAAGTATTCGCAAAATGTAAACCACTGCCGCTTATTTTCACCCTTTAATTCTATTTCTGTTATCTGGAAACGGTCATATACTTTATTCATGACAGAAAATTAAAAATAAAATATTCAGCACAGCACGTCACTTTATTTATTGATTATTATGATTAGATCGAATCTACCTTCTCAACATTCATTTTTGGGAAGAACTCTCGAAACTTATCATAGATGATATTGAATTTCTTATGCATCGTTAACTCTGTGGTGTTGCAAGTGAGCAGCAGGCTCATATGAATATTCGCCCTTTCAGCAGCCTGTAACAGATAACATTTAAGGGCCTCATAAAGTATTACTATTAGGAGATGCACAAAGTTAGGAGAGAAAAAAACAATAAAGATATATCTGAAATCTTGATCATTCATAAAAGCAACCAATGTAAAAATGACACCTTAACAGCCCAAGCAATTTCGAATGAAGGATCATTAGTATATTCTGTCGTTTCATATGGAACTTTCTCCACTGTAGTAGATGAAAGCTCATCTGATTTGGTCATCCTACAAAATACCAATACCTTTTCTTGTTAGCAGTTACTCTTCCAAAGATTCCTTCCTTACTAAGAACAGGAAAGATTCTCATAGAGAACGATTTGCACCAATGTCTATGTTCTTTATCAGCGCTCAGACTTTAAATCATGAAAACACGGTACCAACTCCCATGAATATCACTAACATCAGCATGAAGAGTACAAATACAATTATACTTTCCATTCCATACTCACAGAATGCTACCTACAAAAATCATAATTATTACTTGCTATGCAAAGCACTGGAGAACTGATCTTTCTAGCGCCATTCTCTTCGTGAAACCAGTAAGTCCCTTATTTTTGTTACGATAAAACTATTAGCGAATACACTCCTTATCTGTGAAAAAAAAACACATTTCCGAATAAACTTTACTGAGTCAACGAAACAAAACAATTCAACATAAATGAAAAACAAATAGTACACATTACGCATTAGCTCTTCTTTTGGCTGTCAAAGTATTCCTGAAGAAATGCACGGGCGGCATCGTCTTGGCCATAGTCACGCACAACTACGCACGAACACCCTACCACCTAAAATACAAATTACCCATATCTTTACGTTTAAAAAACGTCGTAAAGTCATGAAAAAGGAATCCAATACAATTCCTTCTCTTAGCGGTCAAGAAATTGTTGAGACATGACCATAATATTTCGTTGGATGCTTCAACCAAGCCGAAATGCACTATTAAATAAATAAAGGAGAGCTGATGCACATGACCTGCATCACCAAAAACCAATGCTTAGAAAGTAATTAAAAGGTTAGAACTACCTACTTTTTCGGAGACGAAAAGGTCTATCATGAGACATTTTACAAGATTGCAAGAGCTGACGCGCTCCAGTGAATTCAAAAATCTGGAAGTTCCCTGAAATCACTGCAGCTTCAATGTTGATATATGCGCCAAATGCAAACCTTTCGAGCTTTTCCTTCTTTATCGTATTTGCACAGACCAATCCACTCTCCCAGCTGTTTTTTGTCCTTAATTTTAACCAAAGGTATCTGATGTTCATTGCATAATGCTTCCACTAGTTTGGTATACATCGGCTCGTCACAGTTCTCAGCCAGAACACAAAAATAGGCCTGGCGCCTGAAGCTTGGATCAGTGGCATCCAGTTACAACGACAAAATATTTAACAGCTTGTATGTTCTATTTTAATTCATTACAACTCAGAGTTAATGACTAAACCAAAAAGGCCTTATTATAATAAGACTCGTTTCAAAGTTATACTTATCGAGCGCTTTAGCGGCTTCATGAAGACCTTTAGCCACTCCATCCATAACGATTGACGACTTCAGAGCTCTTCGTAGTGCAGTTTTAACGTCTAACTTTTCGTCAACTGCAGCCACAGCTGCTTCTGTCGGTGGGACTTGCATTTGTATCTCATCTCTGAAGAGCATAAAATGAAGAACAGACTTTAATTGTCACATTAGCATGGTGATAACAACTGGGTTTTTCACAGATAGCTTTAAACACCGATAAGGAATGTCATGAATTAAAACTTAACAAATGAGCTGTAATCACAAACCCTCCTGCTTCCATGTTCAGCAGTTGTCCTCGATGAGTGCACTTTATCAATTGTAAACTGAATCGATCCAAGCAACACTGAAACTACTACCCCAATTAACTGTCTGAAAACGCCTACAGTCTATCCGAAAAAACCATCACCATCCAACCCATCCCAAAAGTTGAGACGTGGCATAGTGCCAGCACGTAATTCGCCTGCGGATTCAATGTTACAGCGTAATATTTTTTTAGAATTGTCTTTAGCTTATGCATGAGGTGTTGAGCATGTGTGTGTGTGTGTATGTGTGTGTGTGTGTGCGTGTGTGTATCTGTGTGTGTGTATGTGTGTGTGTGTGTGTGTATGTGTGTGTGTGTGTGTGT